CAGAGTGTAGGCAAGAGGAGGAGCATTACCCCACAGGGTCTTCGTTTTCTTTTCTACTCCGGTTATTAAGCGCTTGTTTTTGTCTCCCCCCCACCCCTCTCTCTGCCCCTGTCTATTCTAGGCTGACGTCTGAGGTCACTGGAATGGGCGCACTCTAATTTCCACCCACCATCCTCCACTCCGCACCACCCGACCCTCTCCAGCCACCGGCACTCCACCCAGCCTGTACTGCCTGTACATTTACTGTCTTCCCTTTGCCTCCACAGATACTCTTTTCTTTACTAACAAATATATATATATATATATAAATACACACATATATATGCACACACTGGAACATTTCTTTACGAGCTCCTTTCTGTGCTCCCGAGGCTGCTCCCGATCTCTTTGGTTATGGTCCTTGTTTTCAGTGTACGGGTGTTATTATTTCATCTGCTTCTTGGGGTATGGGGAGGGGGGGTTGTTTGTTTGGTTTTGTTTCTGCTGGTGAGACTTGAGGAGATGACAGGGTCTCTAGTGTCAGTCTATAGCGTAGCTACGTGCACGTTTGAGTTGACATTGGCGGTACTTGCTGTAGCCTATGGCCGTGTGATGCCACCCAGAGCTGTGCGTGCTTCAGAGTACTTGCTTTTCTCACCCTTCTTCCTTTGATGCTCCCTCTTGGTTCACTTTGCTTGTCCTGGCTCACCTTGGCGACCTCCCATCCCTGACCTCAGGGTCATTCTCCCCGTGTTATTTGGGAAGCCGAACGTGCAGGGAGCCAAGCCAACGGGTTCACCCGGAGACTTCTCTCCTTGCAACACGGCAGGGTGCAGACAAGCCATTTTTCATCCTAAACGAAGGGAATCACACACAGATATACACACAAATAGTCCTCTTTTTATAACTAAGGAGCAACTGGAAGTGGGAAGAATTCAGCTCTCTGGGCTTCACACCCCCAGGGGCCTTTGAAAGCACTCTTGTGACAATCCCCAGGAGCAAAACCTTTGGACGATAGCTCAGGAAGCTCTGTGAGCCAGCTGTGTTTGTCGTTGCTTGTGTTCAATAAATGTCTGTGCAGCTCTGCTACCGATGGGCTCCGACTGTTCTTCTCCTGGGTCACCCCACCATCTCCAGCCCCATCCTTCCCTCTGCATCCCTCTGTGCCTTTTTAGCTGCTTGGAGAAAAGATGGGGGTTGTATAAAAAACTTAGTTATTACTATTATCATAATCATCAGCATCAGCATATTTTATTTTATTTAGAGAAGATCTCTAGAGAGATCTTCACAACATTGGTGAAGGGCTTAGAGGGGAAGGGTGTGAGGAGAGGCTGAAGGTGCTTGGTTTGTTGAGCCTGGAGAAGAGGAGACTGAGAGGAGATCTCCTAGGGGTCTAGAACTTCCTCCCAAGGGGCAGAGGAGGGGCAGGCGCTGATCTCTTCTCTCTGGCCACCAACGAATGCCAGGAGCAGAGGACATGGCAGGAAGATGTGTCAGGGGAGGGTGAGGTTGGCCATGAGGAAAAGGTTCTTGAGGCACCCAGAGGGTGGTGGAGCACTGGAACAGGCTCCCCAGGGAGGTGCTGATGGCACCAAGCCTGACAAGATTGCAGCAGCATTTGGCCAAGGCCCTGAGGGACATGGTGTGAATGTTGGGCTTGTCCTGTGCAGGGACAGGAGTTGGACTCCATCAGTCCTTCCAACTCGTAACATTCTGTGATTCTATGATTCTATCATCTCTATGAGCGATGCATCTCCTGAGTGCTTCTAGGCTTTCTTTGTTTAAAAGGGAGGGTACTTGGCTTGCATCAAGTTTGGGTTTTTCCCTCAGATTAATTTACAAGTTACGCTGCAACAACAAACATCTCTCACCACACCTTTGTCCAGACGGATCTGCCGTGTCTGTGCCCCGTGTCCTTCCCCAAGACCCTCTATGCCCAGCCCTGTCTTCTGCTTCCAGGCTTTACTTCTCAAACAGGGAAACAAATATATTTTCCATCTCTTAATTTCCTCCTGGACGAAATGTATGGTACACTTTTTTTCCTGTATTGCAAACAAGGGGATCATGATACATCATGTCCCTGGCAGCTAAAGCTGTTGTGATAAATTTTTGCACATGGGAAATATATTTTTTTCCAGGTGAACCCCAAGTCTTCCTGGCCTTTCCCTCTCTTCCTCCCCTAGAGCCATCAGGCATCGCTGGCAGCTCCTCAACCTTCTCCTGCCAGCGTGCTGGACTGCTTCTCCTCCTGTCACCACATGAGGCTGAGGTGGGGACCCTGGGTGATGCTACCACATCAGTAGAGCCAGGGATGGACAGGGGGTTATGGGCTCCTGGGGCTGCTCAGCAGCTGGCAGGGATGATCTCATATGCCTTAGAGAGGGTGAGGGGAGTGAGTTTACTTGAGCAAGACAGCACGTGCCTCTTATCTGCGTGTATCGGGCAGCATCGTCACCTCCCCTTAGAGGTCCACTCCTCCAACCCAGGAGCACACTAATGGCAAAGCTCCAGAAAGGTGGAGGTGGCTGCCAGCCCCTGCTGCTGAGCATCAAGGGTTTGGCTCAGCCTAGGTCTTGTAAAACCCACGCGTGCTCAGCTCTCGAGCATTTCAAGCCTCTGCGTTTAAAGGTGCTTCCAGCTCCTTGGTAAGATGCTTTGCTGCCCGTTCCCAACCCCTTGCTCTGCTCTCTCTGGCAGTTTGTGTTCAACTGTACCTTTCAAGTGGTCCAGGAGCCAAACATGCCCAAGAGCATCCCCTTTGCCCCCACCCAGGGGAGGGGACGTGCTTTGGGCAGTGCTATGGGGGCTGAGGTGGAGCTGGAGCTCAGCAGCAGCCTCCCTTGTCTTTGTGCTGAGGCTGGAGGAGAGAGGGAGCCCAGGCACCAAGTGTTGCCTTCTCCAAGTTGTTGAGTGGCCAGGGTGAGCACAGAGCCACCAACCAAGTTGGAAAGTCAGCTGTGGGCAACCAGCACTCCTGGTTCTTTCCTGTGCTTCACTCTGGTCTAGCTCAAGTATTTTTTGTATTGAAAGAACAAAATACCTGTGTGAGAGACCCAGTGTGAAAATAACCACCCATCAGCGTGCCAGAGCCACTCCAGAGACCTGGGCAGTGAGCTGGGGCATGTGCCAGCCAGCCAAAGCTCCACATCCCACTGCCACCAGCCTCCACGCAAAGCCACGGCAACCAGTGGCCTGGGGTGATGGTCCCCTTAGAGAAGGATGGGAGCCAGCCCATCCTGCTGTGGTTTGGCTCTACAATGTGGCTGTAGGACAAGCTGGAGCATGAGCAGATCTTGATGGTGATGGATGGACATGGAAAGCAACCAAGGTGCGTGGCAGGAGCAGCCTGCCTCTTCTTGTGCTGCTTTCTTGGGATCACTGTAAAGCTCTGGCACAGAGGGCACAGTCAGAAATCAGCAGCAGCATCACGTTGACAAGCCAACATGTTCATGGTGTTGGTGCATCTGTCAGGTGCTGATGGCCTGAGGAAGGCTGGGGACCTTAATAGAGTGCTAATTGCAATGGATGTGGAAATGGCTTTGCAGGGGGACCTGTGGTTTCTGTAGCTCATGGCTGCCCTGGATTTCTGTACTCGTGTGTGTGTGTGTGCTGTGCTCCTGGTGCTCCTCCCCACCTCCACCGAGACAGCACTGCCCAAAATAGCAAATGCCAGATTGGCTCTGCCAGATGTAACCCAGCTCAGAAGCTACTAGAGAGGAGGAGCAGACTGCAGCAGGACCTCCACACCCATCCCCGTAGCAGTGAACCCACAGATAACATCCCTCTCTGGGTACCATCCTCATCCTAGCCCACCAAGATACATCCATCACCCGGGGACCCTGTGCCTGCTGGTAAAGCCACCCCAGGAGTCGATGGTGAAGGAGGGGAGGTCAGATACAAGCATCGCTTTGGCATCAGGCAGGTTCCCAAGCTGTCGTGTCAAGCCACACACTGCAGCAAGGACCTGGGCTGTTGGGCAAGCTCTGGTGCACGGAGCCACGGGGGACAAGGGACGGTCCCAAGGGTCACCTGACAGGAACATCATGTCCTTGCAGCTTCGGCTTTGCGTGGAGGAGTGAGAGAGTCTCACAAATCTTGAAGGACTGTTGCTGAAATGTGCTGTCCTGGAGGTCAGAGCACCAGGTTGGGTTTTGTCTTCTCCCTGTGGTGTGTTTCAGTTCACCTTACCCAAATCACGTCTGCTCGCTTCATCCTTCAATCTCCAGATGTTTCCAAGGGTCTTGAACTTGAGCCTCCATGTACCAAACCGATCACAATTCTGCTTTTTGCTCTGAGACAGGATGCTTTGTTGCTTTAACTATCTGGAGACCATTTATAATGGAAAATAAAAAGACCACTTGAGCAACTCCAGCTGGGTAACACCAGCCCTCCTGCAAATGAAGGAAGGGAGGTTCTCAAACATTTTGGGCGTGCAAAAAATGAGAAATCTAAGCTGGGTCCCTACTAAGCAAATACTGCTTCACCTCCCATTGCTCAGGAATCCCTCCCATTGCTCAGGAATCTCCTCCTTGGCAGATGGATTCAACCCAACCCGCTGCCTCTCCTCTTCTCTTTGGGGTCACATTTCCCCAGGTTATTTTGCAAATTAAAAAAAAAAAAAATAAAAAAATTAAAAAATAAGAAATGAAACTCCAGTGGGAATCCAGCAGCTCATCCAGCATCACCTGGGCTCGAGCAAGGCCTGGAGAAAAAGGGGTTCAAATAATTGCAACATGTCCTGGGAACACGTTGATGACAACAACGACAAAAATCACAAGGAACGTATCAAACGCGGCTTTGATTTCTTTGGTTCTCTTTGATTTCAAAAGGAGATTTGCTGTTTTCTCTGGAAGGAACCACAATGTTTTGCTTTTCCTTGTGATACATCTTGGGTTTGCATTTTATATGACCTTCAAATGCTCCAGTGATGCATCCACAGCCACGCCACTGGGAAAAACACCTGCACATCTCTAATATTGAAGTGAATATTTCAGTCCAAGGTGAAGGTCCCAGTTAACCAACAGAACAGCTTTATCCAGACAGAATGATTCAACATTTCTGGAAGTAACTGACTCAGTATTACTCAGTCAAACTCTTTGGGAATAGGTTGTTTTGTGGGAAATTGTTACTTTGGCAAGAAATTATTGGTCTGATGCCTCCCCCTGCCCCTGGAGCGCGG